ACTCCACATTCATTCATGATGGGTTCGTGTACATCGTGTAGCGCCAAGCGCCAAAATGTGACTACTCTCAGAACGGTAAGGTTCGGTCGGCCAAATTCTTCAGTGCACGGAACGCTTCGGTCGCGGTGCCGAAGGAACATCTTCGACTGGCAAAACCCGTGCTCGAGGTCGCCTTGAAGCCGGAGGCTGAAAGTGAAATTCATAGAAAAAAGAGTGGCGAACGATCAAGCTAGTGCTATCTGGTCAACGATCAAGCTAGGTTCACCTGAAGCTCCTCTGCACAACCGCTGCCGCGGAGTGCATGTCAAGTGTAGGGTTAGACCATGCGGTGATGAGGTCCTGTTCACAAACCCCTTTCAGCACCTGCTCGTTCTTCCTCTGCAGTCTTGTAAGGTACGAGCACAGAAGGCATGCTAGTCCACTTATCATGGCTCCTAAGGATTTTAGAGCACACGAGAAAGGCCGGAGCGCGTTCAAATCTATGCTGGGAAGAGCACCAGGCACAAACGCTCAAAGAACAACACCGTAATTCTCAGCGTTTCTCGACGTGCGTTGCTTCGACTGAATCTCAACGTTCACTTCTTACGATTCCATGGGGCAAATCTCACCAGTGGCAAGACCAGCGTCGGAGTCGAACAGCATTGCACCGCAAAGTACCAGGCCAGGAGCAACAATAGCTTGGAAAGCCATGGCCTACATCGTTCATAAAACATGCAACGCGCGGGGAGAAGTTTGTGCCATCGGGAACCTCATTGTTGTGTAGTTGTGTTCCCGTTCTCTCTCGTCTATTACCCTCTTGGATAACTTCCGATGACTTGGCCTGTCACACCAGATGAGTGTGCGTTGGCCCCATCGAGGATTAGCCGCGCGCAGCGGTACAGGCGGAACTATTCTTGTGGAGGCAGGAATCGTTCCCAAGACCACCTCCACACCGCATACCTTGGCCATCGCAATAGCTCTGTGAGCCCCCACGCCGTAGGCTAAATAGACGCAGAGAAACGAGCATATTATGCCGAGCGACGCCGTCAAGTTGTGTACCAGCGCGTTAGGGTCTCCTTGGGGGGACGAACGCGCTTCAAGCGCCACCCGAATCACCTTGAATCAATATTGGTGTGAGACGCGGGGGAGAGTCAAGCGGACATTCGTTACATCAACGTCCCTAGACAGGACGGGTGGGCGATTCACTGGACGTCCCTCCCATGCCTCTAATTCACCGCGCCTGAAGCTAAGAGACGATGTACAGACTTATTTCCCCTTGTCAATATACTCACCTTCAGCCTTGGGAATGACTCCATATCGGGCTCATATTCTCGATATGTTCGTGAACCCGGAGGACAAGTAAACATTGGCTTGACCTTCCCATGACGACCATGGCTTGTTAGCTACTTGTGTTCCTGCTGGTACTTACCTCAGAGTTTCATCATCGGTAAGTAGCATATTCGACCTCTGCACTAGGACAGACAGCGCTGACTGGTAGCAGAGAGGTCTGTAGAATATTGTTTGTTATTGACACCACGAATGAGTCGTGGCACATTGTACCGCCGACGACCTGGGGTACAAACGAATTGGAAACTCTGCAGATCAGTCCGGATCCCAACCGGAGTTTAGCCTCAAGTTTGGACGGATCGTCTTTTGCGATATACTCTATTGTCGGGGTCCTGCTCACCATTGGCACAAAAATGGCCGCCACCCACACCGGCAGGATCAAGTATAGAGCCACTATCACTCGCTGCGACATGATGATATCTCGGTAGACGGCGGTCTTGTTGGCACTAACTCCACCTATGCTTTCGACTATAGTTGGCGGATGAACAAAGGTGCTCGGTTTCCCCTCCCTGCAAGGCAAAGCAGCACATGGTCGTGTCGAAGGACAGCCATCGGAGATGTGTTTAAAACGATATCGATGAGCTTCTTTGCGGGGCGCGTGGCAGAGACGAGGGAATGTTACCCTCCGGCCCAAGCCTGCTCTACATGTAGGATAGGAGAATAATGTAGCTGGGTTTCTGAAGGCATGCTTCGGAATATGTTGATCTCTGGAGAGGTCATAGGTACACTTTTCGTTCACGGTTCGAAGCACGTGCCTCCGCCTCGCCAACGTTGGTGGGTCCCGAAGCGTGATCTTCGTCACGACCGTTCCACGGACGACACTGCTCCGTTTCGTTGACACTGCTTGATGGCAAGAAGATCGTATGGTGGTGCAACACATTGACATCAGAATTGAAGTGCCTGGGCGGCCGGTCGGATCTCACATTAGTCCATTGGTGAACTTTCAAGGCGTACGAGGGATGCGACACCCTTCGCGACACGCAACGCCTTGGTGTTCACCATACAAGGGCTGCATGTGATTTATCACGACAATGGAACATCACGAAAAGGCAGTAACTGGTATACTATATTGTGTTGTGGGCTCTCTCGATCAGCACCCCTTCGCTTCTTCCATGGCTGCGCCGGTCTGCGGGGAGGTAGAAGTGCGACGAAGGTATCACTACCGCTACTTACGAGCTGGTTTCTGCTCATCATCTTGCGATGTCTTCCTGTCCTGCGGATGGTGGTGCCCCAAGACGCCGTGCTGGGCATGACTGCGCGAATTCTCCTTGGATAGGGTATGTCGATCCCGTCCCGCATTTGATACGGTTCCCGAGATGGGAGGCGTATTGGCCTTCCTCAGCAAGACTGGAAACACCAGAGCTGTCGGGATCATGAAGAGCGCTGTGGTCGCCGTCATTTGTGCCTGGGAATAGGGTGACAACGTTGGCAAGTGATGTGACTTTGGTGTGTGCGCATGGCAGACTCTCTTGCGGAGAGTGGTGCGAACAAGCACATGAAGGGGGGTCAAGAGAAAAATAACTCGCTCGATATTTCACGTCGAATATTACACAAAAAAAAACGCGGCGAGTGTCGGCGAGCTCAATACGAGCCAACCTTGAAAATATCTTCTGTATCCGGGCCGTTCACACGAACCACAGAAGGGCTGCACGAACCATAAAAGTAGCCTTTTGCCAAGATATCAAAAACGAAAGTAACTGCAGTCCGACCCTCATCCGTTTGCCAATGAGAGTACAAAGGCGCCAGGGGTTGAAACGGTAGCCGAATATTTGAACGCCACCTTGTCTCGGATGCTGAACTGACTCTTTCCGTAGAACACCGCCTGCAGTGCCACCGCACTCATCCAATCGGCTAGGAGAAGAACAAGGTGTTGCGACCTGTAGAACGTCAGCGGTACGCAACGGACGATTCTCAGGGGCTGAGAGAGCAACGGGTGATACGATCGCGGAGGAGGCAGCCGCATTTTGATCTTTCTGCACTCACGATATCTTCACCAAGAGAATTTTCCATAGCCCTGACCTTGTGAGCAGAGTCTTCTTGAAGTGAGTTGTGGGAGAACTCCGAAGATGGCTCCACGCATGGTTCATGAGAACGCTGCCAAAACTTGTCTGCGTTAAGAATACAAATCCGAGAGCATTCCACGATTATTGTTCCGGATTTGTGGCGCAACGAAACGTATTGCGGTTGAGCGACAAAAAGTGCTGCGTTTTCGACATGACATTTTCAGTACCCCAGCGCAAGCCAAGCCACACAATGGTTTTTCGCACCTTTGCCAAGTGGTCCTTTTGCGTTGATCTGGTGATCTTGTGGACACGGAGGTAGCCGCTATCGAGCTGATTGTTCTTGTTTACCTCTTGATGTGCCTTTCGTTTTCTTTCCTGGATCTATCATCGACACTCGACGTTGTGGAGGCATGTCACGTTGTTGGATTTGGAACCGTTTGAAAGATCCAATGAGTGACATTTCTGGGTTAGCTCGTGATCCAGTAGTCATGATCCGATAATGATCGGGTCATCACCTGATCATGAACCAATGAAGGGGTCATGACTGAGTCATGGCCCACAAACCCAATAACGTCAATGTCCCGATTGATCACACATCGTACAAAAAATGGCTCAATGACACCATGCAACGTGTGTATTAGGGCACTTGGAAACACATCCTGCGACCCCGACTTGAATCGATCATAGTGATCGGTCTTCGCCCTGATCGTACCCGAATTTGGACTGGCTGGTCTTGTCGGGAACAGCGGCCTCTGGTCAGGTATAGCTCTCGGAGAATTTGGTCGTAGAAGGAGCCTTGACCGTGTTTGGCATCCTGTCGTAAAACGAGTCGCATGTTCAGATGTTGGCGTGGTAGACGGGAGAGCGAGACGCTTAGGTTGGAGGCCCTTTGGAAGAAGGCCGAAGATTGCAGGACCACCTCCCTGTCGCGTGTTGCATGACACGGATCTATCTGCAAGTGTCTCAAAAAACATTCCAAGCAGCACGGGCGAAAACTTCGCCACTGATCCTTGACACGAGGAGCACGTGGTGTGCCGAAGAAGTGTTGTGTCCTTTGTATGTAGCGGTATTGACAAAATGGTTAACTATTGAGGGTCAGGGGCCTGCAATGAAAACAACGTGGGAACCATTTTCTGCGCAGGGCTTCCTGCACGGCACTCCTCGGAAAACGGCCTTGCGAGAAGAGCTCTACAGGAAGCGAGGCTAACGTTTTCGAAGAAGGACACAAACTCACGACTGAAAGAGAACGCCAATACTGTCCTTCACAACCGTCAACCCAACCCCGCTCTATCGGCCAACTCACCCCTCGAGCGACTCACCTCCCTGTACAATAGCAAGGCCGGCACCAGGAAGAGATTTGCAACCAGCGCTAGGAACAGGATTGCTGGCCAACTCTCTGCTCCATACTACGCACGTGGGTAGACAGGGGAACAAGCAGTGGGATTGCGCGCTATCGCGGTGGGAGATGGGCAGCAAGTACTGATACAATGAGCAACATATCCCGATTTGGTGCGACCTTGGCAACGTGTTTTATCATGTTTGGGTTTCCATTGGCCTTAGCGCTGTAAGAGAACTATTCTCGAACCTGTCTCAAGACCCCTGCGCCTGGGACAAGGTCGGCAGTGATCCACTCAGCAGATAGACCATCCTCCACCGCCAACGCGAAAGGGCTCAAGTGGTACGTCTCGCACGCTGTCTCGGTGGACCCTCCCCGCGAGGCATGAAACGAGTCTACGGCAATGCCATCCGTTACCCATTGTTTGCCGGCATTCGCCAATGACACGCAAACCGGCACATCTTCACGCGACCTCCGTTCTTCTACGCCCTGGAGGTGGAAATCGAGTTTGAAACAGTCCCTGGATGAGTTTGGCCTTCTTTCAATGCCGGTTTTAGGGGTATTCTCAGCATCTGTATGTATCACAGCTGGTCGGGCGCTGACCAAATCGACAAAGGGTTCTGTGTGTCCAGCGATCGTTGTTGTTCAGGGACTCGACAATGTTGTTCCTGAGTGTTTGCACCCCGCACTTCGGATGTTTTGGACTACGGCCACAAATGTGTTTGTTCCACTCTTCCAGAATACATGCAACATCGTAGAAGTTCCAGGTAAGGTGGTTCGGTGAACGAAACGCCAGCAAGAAAATTGAACACAACAAGATTCACCTCTGTTCTGGCAGAGAAGGAGATTGGAAACTCGAATTCGTGCAAACCCTCGCCAGTCGTGTCCCACGCGTTAATAGACGTCACGCTTGCTAGACCTGCAGGGTTGCAAAAATCGACACGTGACGTCGAGGTTACGCAACATGTGTAATGGCTTTCACCCTGACACGCTTAGGTATGGGAAATGTGTTTTTACACTGCCTTGAAGGAACTCTCCGCTTTCTCGAAAAGTGACACCGACGCCCCGAGTCCATCCGCACTGGCATCCCTTGTGTCCGCCCCATCAACTTCATTAAAAAGCGCTTCCGCTTTCGTGTTGAAAGCACCGGCTTCAGTTTACGTCAACATTACCTTCAGATGCGAAAATGGCAAGTGACGTAACCGCTATAACGACGGTGGAATTGTCTTCGACACGGGGCGATAGCGGCCACTCCTCAAACGAAACTCTGGTTCCGTTGTTGCCGACGTTGAGCAAGGCCTCTTGGATGGAAGCCTCGGAGATTTTTGCGGCCTGCGACAGGGAAATGGAGACATGGGCAAGAGCATCCAGCAAAGGAAAAAAAACTTTGTTGATTCCACGTGGGGTGCAAGGTTGATACCGAACTGACATTGGTTACACAAGCGAGCCGACTTTGCTTCACTCTGTTCGGTACTGTACCCTTCCACGTGCGTATCGGTTGTCCCATCGACTAAAGAAAAATTGTTCAGAGCAGGGGAAGTTATAGAACGTGGGTTCAGAGTGAATGTTGATTCTCACTCGTCACATGTTCACGAGCACTAAATACACCCTCCACCGTTCGGGTAGACTATGGCATGACTACTGTATGTACATGTATTTTTACATTTTTGGTCTTTTCTTAGTGCCGAGGGCATGGGGTCGTATTTAGCCCCTGGGACCCCGGACAGACACAATCTCCCACACTACAGACTTTGCTGAACCCATGGGTCACCCATGGGCACTTCATGGGCACTTCATGGGCCCTTCATAGGCCGCCGATGGGTGACCCATGGGCATGCCCATGTGCGGCCCATGAAGTGCCCATGAAGTGCCCATGAAGTGCCCATGAAGTGCCCATGAAGTGCCCATGAAGTGCCCATGAAGTGCCCATGAAGTGCCGATGAAGTGCCCACCGTGGGGACTTTACCCTAGAACCTCGCCACCGGCATATCAACCAAGACCTTCGCCACCTGCACGTCAACCTGTAGAACTTAGCCACCAGCGCCAACCTAGCACGTATCGTGTGGGCTTGGGAGTAGGGTTAGGGTTAGGGTTAGGGCTATGGGATTAGATATAGTGTCCGTTCCAAAGCAGATTATCTGTTGCTTAGGAGTACACTGGTTCGGTTGAAGGGCTCTCGTTGGCCGCCCATGGGCTTCTCATGGGTTGCCCATGGGCCGCGCATGGGCAACCCATATGGGCTCCCCATGGATCAACGATGGGTCAACCATGAGCAGCAAGGTGCTCATGGGCGGCCCCCTGGGTCATGGGTCACCTATGGGCTGCCCATGGGCAGCACGTGGTGCCCATGGGCGAGCCAAGGGTGACCCATGGGCTGGCCATTGGTGTCCCATGGGCGTTTTAGCAAAACTGTAGAAAGTGTGGAAGACTCGACATACATATTGACACAGGAAATAGAAGTACGACAAAAACTGCCTTCTTCGTATTCCTTACATGAGCCATGCTATCCATGCGCTGGGTCTTTGATCGCTGCCTAGGTACCTTCTAACATCTGTACTGGTCCTACTTGGTCCTACCTACTTGGACGCCTTCCGTTGTTGCAGACTAATTCCGACCCAAGGTACATGCATAAAAAAAAAGCACTTCGCGAAAAAACGCAGATCATTGAATCCTGGCCGTTTGTGCCTTGTCCTGAAGGGTATAGACGATGACGTACCGGATACCATATGTTGTGTCATACTTTATCGATGGATGATCGAGATGTCTTGTGCAAGAATTGATACATGCGTGGTGCTTCATGAGCGCAACGGCAGACCAACTTTGGGGTGTGCGATCTTGGAAACAAGCATGGCGCTGGATATTGGGAGGTCCTACTTGGTTCTGCCCACGTGGGACTGAACGTCGGGGAGGTCCCTGCAAACTGAACAGTCGCACCCAGTATTCCCTGCACCACTCGAACATGGTGCTTTGTCGGTTTGCGGTCATATCTTCAATCCGGTTCGTCTGTCCAGCTTTGAAACATGTCTTCCGCACCGACATCACACGAGGTATAACCGATGCACACATGATCACTTTGGAGAGCACAAGAAGAATATCAACAAAACGGAGGTATATGGTACACCCGTCTGATTATTTCCTTCGGCCGACGTACCTGAAGATCGAGGGATTCGGCGCTGATCTGGTCCAGATTCTCCCCTGCCTCGGATCCTAATGCCACAGCTTTCCCGAGGCTGCCAAGGAGGTCCAAGGACACTTCCGTCCCTGAGGATGAATCGTTCGCGCTCAAAAGGACAGAAACAATCTGCCGAGAACAGTAGAACGAAAGCCATGGTGGTGGTCATCATATCAATACAACACGGCCGAGTGATTTGCATTCCGACCAAGTCTCCTGGTTCTTCGCGGGAAAACGCGGACTCAATTCACAGATAGAGGACGACGACAATCTGTCTGTGAACGGCATGTACAGTTCAATGTACGGGCATCCAAGTGACAGCATCGTAGCATTGAAAAGACACGTGCCCACCTGCAAAAGTGAGACCGCGGCGACAGACTCCGGCACTTGTCCGTCGAGCGCCAAACGTTCGATCATATCTCCTGCAGCCTCCGATACCACAGTTGCAGCTGCATTGCTATTTGATCCACTCTCCTAGAGACCATCAGTTGCAACGAGGAAGAAGGATGTCAATTCGAAACAGTTTCACGTTGATCTGGACGGCGGGGTTAACAGGTGTCACACACCAAGTGTGCAAAGAGCACCAACCGACTTGCCTGAGTTGGTGATTGCCCCCCCACACACGTCGTAGCCCGAGTCACAGAAAAATACTCGAACTTTTCGTCCGACATTTTTCCGTTCACAAGGTTCAAGTTTCGGAAAGGAGTGAAGACGGCAGGAATCCATTGGACGGAGAGAGGGAAACGATTTCTGCGCCCAGCACTCAAATCTGACACAACAATGTTGAATCTCACCGCGCTGGATTTGAATGCCCCCGCTAGGGTCTCGGCACCGGCCCTAACTGCTGCGGTGGTAGATTCAAGTGCAAAGTAGGCCTCCACCACGGTCGCGACGATAGTTTCCTGGCAGAAAAGCCACGTGAAGCGGTTGCTTTTCAGTTTCCATTCGAAATGAAACGTAAGATCCGCGTTTTCTCGGACATGCACTGCGATCGTGGTGGTTGTTGTTGTTGTCGGCGTCGTCGTGGTTGCTGCTGTGGTTGTTGTTGTTGTTGTACAGTAGTTGTCTTCACAAGAAAAAGTTCCGGTCTTCTCATCCTCCTATAGCCCATACCGATCCAACCAATAACGCGTACGCCTTCCGGGTCGCTGCCAACAACCCGAAACATGTTACACGCTTGCCGGACACTACGGTACTTCGAGAAACCATCAAACTTACTGTTGGTGGTATTCCGCAAAGATATTTCGACAGAAAATCTCTGAAAAAATAGAATGAGAGGTCTGCACCACGATCAAACTTGAAAGCGTTTCACCTTAAGCTCGATTATTTCAGCGAGTTCCTCGGGCGTGTCGGGCTGTGGAACGTATTCCAAAATGGCGGAAAACATCGCCGCCTCCCTCAAACTATCAGCAGGATCGACCAAGGACCCTCGTTGATCTGAGAGCGAAGATATATTTTTTCGCAAAGACGAAAGGGAAACCTGCAAAGAAAGGTGATTTGATTTGTTGTTGCAGGTTTGGAACGCTGGCGGCCTTCGTCACACAACATTGAGTTCAATTGGAACTCACGCTCTGAATCGTCGCTGCTGGAAAAAACGTATCCATCTACAGCAGGAGATGTGGACGGTTTGCACAGGGTAATAAGCCGAAAACGGCGACATATATCGAATTCGACTCCACTTCACAACGGTTGCGCATTCTCCTCGAAAACACGACGTCACCCGTACCTGGTCTGGCGGAGATGACACGAGTACCAGGGGTTCGTTGTCAGCGCCAAGGCTCGTGACAGCAGTCGAACCGAGTACATCGGAGACATACGCCACCATCGTCATATTAAACCCATTGGACGCCGTCCCTGGTGGCAAATGTGTGTGTAACAAGCTCGAGTAGGATGCCCCAGAAGACAGCATGGTCACCCAGAGCTCGCTGTCAGCGAGTAAAGCAGGAAGAGGGATGACATGCACAACGTATTTCTGTAGGGGATGCACAGGACGCTTTCGGAGCAGGCCTTTCATATCACCCAAAGCAATCACATGAGTCTGACATAGGATATCTTGGCGTAGCTGAAGTCGCCATCACACCAGTGACTCACGGCAACCAAAATGGTAGGCATGAACCGCGGAGCTTGTCACCTCGAGACGGAGAGTATTTCGAGCCGGCCGTGTGCGTAGCCGAACTCGTAGGCCATGGGAAGATCGCCAAAGTCATCTGCCCAGCCTGCGGTTTGCAGGAGTGCCTTGTCCTCTCCAGAGGTCATTCGAAGAATATCCGAGACGACGTATCCCCCGACCGGTGGGGCGTTTGTCTCGAAGGCAAACTCTGCAACGTGGTCAAAGAGACATTCGGGGAAACGCTGTGGCCGGTCGATGAGGTAGCTCTTGCGGGCGTGACACGCTTGTGACCGTGAGAATATGAGTACTTGGAAGTGCGAGTTTGGTTAAATCTGCGGAAGACTCGCCTGTGTAGCCAGTACTGCCCAAAGAATCGGTCGCCGCTAGGGAGAAAGTGTAGATTCGACCAGGAGAAAGCGATCCGGGCCGTACGACCTGTGTTGGATGGCTGGACTCCGTGCTGAATACGTCCTCCCAGTTTTCCTCTTCTATGTTGCTGTCCACCTGAACACGCACGTCAGAGGCGTGGTGATCAATGCTCTCACGAGGACCATGCAGGTTCCTTGTCCGGTGAGCGACCTGCCGCTAGTCAACCTCCACCTCAGGCCTTGACACGCCATGAAGCTGTGAACCGCATGTTCTGTGCTGGACGTTCGTCAACTGCAGAAACCACACCACACGTCATGGCGCACCTGATCCCACTTGAAGTCGAATCCCGCCGTAGAACTATTGCGGCACCGATCTTCTAATGATGCGGCGGCGCACCCGTACAGTACTAGCCTACTTGAAGGGTTGTACTTTCGGCGGACCTCCTGAGACAACCAAGACAAGCATTTGAAGGGCACATGCCATCAGAACTGGAGCTTTGTTCACCCGAAGTTTTGCATCGCCGGATGTTCACAAGGAGGTAGTTCCAATAGATAAACGTCTCGACCAGTGCCTTTTCCGATAGTCGGTGGAAACTGGTAGCCCGCTCACAGAGCCAAAATGACGGTCAATCCCATGCCTTGCGTCTCGATAGAAAGATGAATGCGATTGAAAGATGAATGCCTATGTTCCTACCTTCGGATTAATGGCGACGATAGGGACGTCTACTGACGACGTCGAAACAGTGCACGACGTGTTCCCACTCCGGCGCTGCGACCATAGTGTTCCACCATTCGATCCCTTCGACACGGTGACTGAGAAGACGTACTCAACACCTGGCCAACGAGAAAAAGCCGCAAAAAAAGCCTCCGGCAGTGAATCAATAGAACGGCATTCATAGCAAATAGCGGCAGTCAGCAATTTCCCTTACAGGGGTGAAACCTGGGGTCCCAACCGAAAGAGTTCGGTGTACATCGAATAGCATGCTACGGTGGTAACCTTCATCAACTTGCCTGTGGGAAGAGAGTTCGCTGGGATGGAGAGGATGGCCTCGTTTTCGCTCGACGAAACGTTCAGGGTTTGGCCTGTCCCAGAAGTACAGATATCACCAGATTGGCTCTCGCAGCGCCAACTGAAATCGAACGGGATAGTAGCAATGTCGTCATCATCCACCGATGCCGACGCATCCAGTTGCAGAGCCTGGGAACGTTCGGTGTCAGGGCCTCCCTTGTTGGCGGGCGTAAATCGTTGGTCGTTCGTGAGCACTGCTTGGAACTCATCCCCTCGCAACTTACCTTCGTGCGATGCTCTCATATGCGCTCGCTAGAGACAGACCAGGGCCGCATACCTGTCCCAGAAGAGTTCTGTTCCTCCACTTACCTGCGAAACTCCGATTCTTCGACTTGAGCCACCGGCGATAGCCGCAACTACTGCTCCGCCGACCACTTCGACTGAACCGTTGGGCATGGCCGGAAAACACGGTACCGGCGAGAGATGCCAACGAGGTACGTTTGGTTAGGTCCCAGTCATATACCAAGCTTGAAGTCATGAATGTTTGTGGGAGCTGATAGACTGCACAACGGCTCACTGTGAACGGTATGTTCTCCTTGTGAGGATTCGGCCTCTCAAGAGATAGCTACGCCTGCCCTATGTTGCCCCTTCGTTAGACACAGTGCGTGGCAAAGTAAAGACAAGGTTCTTGCATGTCAAAGTACTAGACCTAAGCCAGCCAATCTTGTCTATTTGGCAGCCCTGGCACCAGTTTCCCCTGGCCTCACCAGTTGCATTGACGGTACTAGAGATTCCGCCGAAAGATGTCCTCAACTGGAATTGGTACGAGCTCCCTGCATAGCCTAGCGCGTAGGGAGGAATAGCGAGCACGCTCGGGTCTCTGCCGACGCCCAGCGTAACATCCGCCCCCCCCGCAAAAGACTCGTTTGCTGACGCTATACTCCATGAATATGATGCGAGAGCCTCCTCGGTGTTTGTGGTTGAACAGGTAGACGTAGCAGTTTCGCTCCGAAAGGTTATTGCACTTCCTCGCGTCCGCTGCAGAACAGATGATCCCACAATCTGGTCCGAAAGAAGAGTACATGCACCACAGGACGCGCGAGAAGCGGACGTCAGTCAATCCCTCATGTCTCAAGGTGGCGGAATGGGAAACGAATACGTCCGTCTTCGATGAGCCGGGGTGGGTTGGCCGTACTTGGGCGATCCCGTATCCAGAGCCGAAGGTATCTGTCTAGTACTACACATGCGCTGCAGAAGATAGGATCACAGAAACTCGCTGTCCGCGTGAAAGGGGCGGATGCGATCCGCAGAGAGAGGCGTCCTCTGTCGTTCACCTTCGACAGCAGCAGCTCCGCAGGCGATTTGAACACTTCCACCTCTGCTGTCGAAGATCCTCCGAGTGCCGTTTCCACCCGAAGTACAAATGTATACGAAAGACCTTGTGCCATGTAATCGCTTGGAACCCTGACTGTTAGATACTTCCCCAAGCTTGCCTGGTTTAAGCCGAAACGTTGAAGGGGGCCTCGGAGAAAGAACATAATTTTGTGAAATGGGTCGTGCGATCGATACTCCACAGGCAAGCCCATTTTCCCGTTTCCTCTCGCGCCGAGGTGCCATAGGTCGCCCGAGAGGAAACCTCTATCGAACCGATTTATTGTGAGCGTTCCTGTGCGCTCACCTCCTCTAGATGTCTCGTGACGTTGAAAATATCAGCGAATTGGCCGTTTCCAGCTAGTGCGACTTCCCAGGTCACGTTGGTGGTGCCTTGAGAGAATTTCGGAGCGTTGGGGGTAACCAATTGATCAAATTTTCACACCACACGAAAGAAACGATCGGGTATCGCGACGCTGTACACGCTTTCGCACTGTACCTATCGAAGTCGACGTAGCACTTCCCTCCAAAGTGAGATCGTCGCAGTACCCGATGGCGCTGGGGGCACTAACAGTCACATACGGTGGGTCTGGGGTGGCAGGAAAGTCGACCACAACGCATCCAGCGGATGTGGTCAGAAACGCCCCAATCTGCCATCGACAACAACAGCAACGATAGAGGGCGCGGGATAGTGTGCAAAGAAGGGCCCAAGATAATCTAGATGCCTTTTTTTACGAGACGTTGGTATTCTTCCATGAGACATTGAATAAAACCATGCAACGTGATCCTATATTCTGAAAATGCGATCGATCTCGTGCATTTCCTTTATTTCGGTCGCTGGACAGTAGCGAGAACTTTTGTTGCCCACGATTCCGAGCGATACATGTTTTGTGACATGCGTCACAAGCGCCGTCATACCTCGGTTCGAACCACGCCGGCAAGCAGTGTCAGCGACGTACCATCGCCATCCGTGCAGGCGTCACTCGAAGAGGGAACAATGCTCGACAGGACTCCAAGCGTCACCTAGGCGCCGGAGGAAGCATCATGGGATCAAAGCAGTACGAGCATCAGTGTACAACTGTAAACCGCGAGCGCTTTATGGTCGGTAGTGTTGCACGAGTGACCAGATGATGCAGTACCACAATTTGTGAGAACGGGCTGTCCTCGTAAGGCGACGACCCGAGGGATGACCCTAAACAGAAGCCACCTCGACACCTACCGTGGGTATCGGCACAATGCACAATTGCTATTTCGCTCGGAACGTTCCTCGACAGCACCTTAATGCTTGAGCTGGACGAAAATTGGCAGGTGCTGCCGATTCCGAGCGTTGACGCAGAAGCAGCGGAAAAGACAGACTCGCACGAGACCGAACTGAAAGTACCGTTGATTTCCTGAGAAGATGGGTTGCCTGTGAAGTCGACGGTCACCTGCTCCGGGAGCAACGAACTCGATTTTGCTTCAAACAAGAACGGCGGTTACGGACACATCTGGTGGTTTGCAGGCTTGAGGTGCTCCACCAGCACGCCAGAAGGTGCTTTCGCCAACGCGTACTCTCACACTTCATCCCAAACTTTTCCTTTCTCAAATATCCGCGCTCATTCGACTTTTAGCAAGATTCGAACATATATTCCATATGGCCTGTGACTGCTAAACATATCCGCAAGGTTCTACTAATGTTGTATTCCCTCTCCGCCCATGCACCTGTGCTCCTGTGTTGGTGAACTGCGCAGCTGAGAGCTCTGGTGGTGAATCCCGGGCCTCTACAGTAATAGAACCTGTTGGCATATGTTGACCATGGTAGCGAAGTTGAAGCGCAAAAAGAACGACGTCGAGTTCGCACATAAAGTCGAAAAGAACTGTGTATTCCTTTTGGTAAAATCAGCCGCGGTACTCTATAGTAACACCTGTACTGAAGGGCGTCCGACAGAGGAAGACCGAGAAAATCGTCACCTGAAGAGTATTCCGTGCACGCAGCGCACCCAGAGATGTACTCCGATTCGCTGTTGAGAACCACCGTGCTATTCTCTGCCAAGGTGGAGCCTACGAGGGGGCGTACATTGTGGGCGAATGCGGTACATCGGGAATGATCTTGAAATTTGGGTCACGTCTCACGCATGAGCCTGTTTCAACCTAAAGACGGTCCTGTCGGAGTTACCAACCCTACCGCTCCGCAATCCCACGATTTGCGTTCCAACCTCTTGCTGTGGGCGATAGGTTGAACAGTTGAACGCACACAAACTTGGTGTTGTAATCTATCGGTGCCAACACCTTTGGCGGAAACCGACTTTCCCATTTTAAATACTGTATCTGTACGTATATTGCCTACACGGGTAGAGAAAACGAGTTGTTGATTCTCCACCAAAAGGTTGGCGGACCAACACACGAGAGCATGTCGCTAAGCATCCGGCTCATTGGAAGTATGAGTCATCGAGTACACCCCCAGGGTAGAAGTCCTACAGGTATGAAAATGACCACAAAGAAGTTCGCTTGCGACCTTAGCTTACCTGGACCGAAGGTGATGCGGACCGTTGTGCCATCCTCCCAGCTGCACACAGCGCCAGTTCCCGCTGAGGCTATGGTATCCAAATCGAGCAAATCCGTCACTTCACACGTGGCATCTGAGCAGGTTTGCCCACGACACCAAAGTCCTGCTGGTGAGAAAAGAGTGCATCGCACATATGGCGTTCTGATCAAGTGTATCGCTTCAATAGTGGCAGCATGTGTGTGCGCCATATTGGTGTAGCAACGGGTTTAGTGTGAAACGTCAATGCCACTCTGTAACACTCCCTTCCATGGTTCCAACAGCAGCGTGTGTTGACACAAAGCGGTATCGACGACGACGTGGACCTGAACGGGATCACCTCCACGCCATCAACTCCTTCAACTCTCAAATCCCGATTCCGAATCTAGAGATGTCATTCTTCCGTCTTCAGCACCACACCTGAGCTTCCCAGCGCGGGCTCAAAAAGCAGATCAACTCCATGGACGGCTGCTGCTAGTTTCGCCTCGACAAGTTCTGGTGCAGTAGACAGCACGGTAGGTGCTTGGAGTGGAGGCGAAGTGGGAGCTACCGACGGGGACGGCGCCGATGACGGCGCCGGTGACGGGGTCGGTGATGGTGCCACTGATGGGGCCGGTGACGGCACCGGTGTTGGACCTGCTGGGCATGAATGCGGAGGCGCATGGGCAGGAACCTGGTTGAATCTGGGTAAACGCGAAGCATTCGTCGAGGTTTGGCAAGGTTCCAATTGACAGGTAGCTTGAGGCGGCATTCGAACACACAACGAGTTTTTCGGCCCCAACTTAAGATGACTGTCCGCGCGAAAAGGAGTGCGGTCCAAAATGGCGTTAAAGAGTAAATACGAGTACATACGTTCCGAGGGTTCAGCCTTACGGAGGCAACGCGAGACACCAAAAAATCAACCTCGCCGACAGGTATGCAAAACAACTCGCCTTGGAGCTCGCAAGGAGCTGGGGTGTCGGAGGAGCACTCTTGTTCCAACGGAAGGACTGCCAGCTTGCCGCATTGCTTGCCGTTGTTGTAGTGCGTGTTGGACTTGCATTCATCGCACAAGTTTGAACAGCAGACAATGCCCTCTGAGTCCACTATCCCGTCGAATTCGGCGCAAATATCTGTTCCCGTTCAGCAAGAGCATGGAATTTCATGGTTTCTCTCCCCCATCAATTTCTTGTTGGTTTCTCGGGAAATATATACCGTTTCGCGTGTGCCATGATCGTGCTGCAAAAGCTGTCCGTTGCTCTCGCCAAACTTAACAGGGAGTTTTGTCAGAGAAACAGGCCCAACTCGCAAGCGATACTTGAATATAACTTGACGCAAAATTTCGGTAGACGTCCTTTTGGTGCATCAATGCGGGCAACGGAAGAGTATGCGCCCACCTGGCTGTGTCGTAGGCGCTGGTGATGGAGGAAAGATGCACTGGCAACATTCGTACGGGTTCGGTGGAAGAGGCGAGCGGAAAATTTAGGATTTTGACTGCCGTGGCGTCTGCAAAGTCCGGCGTTATCCCGGGTTATACAACGAGCCATTTGTTGCCGTTGTGACAGTCGGCCATGCCTTCTTCCGTCTTGCGTCACCGAAACCGAACGGAGACGAAGTGAGGAATCATATTTTTCACACAAGAGCTTGCTTTTGGGTCAAACGTTCTTGACGATTGGACGTCACAGGTTCAACGGTATGTCAAACCCATCGCGCGAGGCCAGCATCTGCCACCGTCAGCGTGTTCTTTCGAGAGGATTTTTGGTTGCTATTCTCACCGTGACGTCGAAAACCACGATACCGCCCGTAGCGCCAGCGCTAGCCATTGCAACGAAGAGCTTGGTCGTGCTGGCGGAAAATCCGGCAATGACTCCACCCACGACTTCCGCCTCGTCGAGGATATTGACAGTTGTCGCTGATGACAGAACCCCAGTCGAAGAATCCCTCTGAAATACCGCTATCTGGGTTTGTGTGGAACGATCAATCGCGACAGATGTTTAGTAGCGCATCCTCCAAACAGGCCCGCCGATTCCTCAACGGACGGGATCAAGACACATCTATGTCATTACGTGAGGCTGATGTGAAAACATCGAGCCGTAGGATGCGTAACCCATCTCACAGACACTTGCAGCGATCTAATTATCATTGGTCCGCTACTCACGGTAAGAAGCCTGTCCGCCCACCAAGCCTCCAAATAAAAATAAAATATCCGTAGAGACGCGAATTCCTTCAGCCCATAAAGTGAGGTTAGTGAAAGGATTGGACGACCCGCTGGCACATTGCTGGCATTGCCGTTGAACACCTCTATCTCGTCGAAGGCACTGGTGTTGTTTGCAGAGCGTATGCACAGAACGGTTAAGTTTCGCCGCGTAAGTGTGGACTCTAGCCTTTGAACACCACTGTCATGTATCGTATCTCCGCCCTAGGCGAGGGCGGCCATAAATCGTTGCAAGCGGTCCCTACGGGAGGGAGGGATGAGATACGGACCGTGGGAATCGTGCGAATATAGTGATCAGATCTACCCCACGGCGCGGTGCGCGAATATGGAGGTCTTTCGGCACTGGCAGATTCTTTACGGCAAATGCGGAGACAGGGGAGTATATGAGGTTGCCTCTGCGATCCACAACATATCGCACACAGTCTGACGAATCTGCGTTAGCATCACACCTCATCTGAAGTCTCGCGGCCGATTACAACCGAGTGCTCGAACACCTCCATAAGAAACATGTCGCCGGCATCGCTTCCGCCAACATCTGCCGCCTTCGTGCTGTAGTTTGCCGTCGAAACGTAGTTACCGGACTCATCTACTCTCACGTGATAAACTTCGTCCAGTCCACAACCTAGCACGTACACCTGTTGGCCGGCCAATCAATGTCTGAGTTGCAACGTGGTGCTGATGGTGGTACAGGAGGCATGGATATGGATCTGTCCACTGCAACTCTTTCCTCCGTGATCTGACTGAGAACGTGGCTTGAACGAGACGTGTCGTGTAGTGTGCCAACGGAGCTTCTCTGCGTGCAACGCCACCCCAGACATTCAGCCTCTCTTGCAACGCAACAAACACCCGCGCCATCTATGGCAAAGTTCGGTTCTTCAATGGACATGCGAAGAACCTTCAGCGTGCTGAAGCACTCGCACAAGGAAAAATACCCCAGGAACGTACCGACAACCCGTCGGGGGAGATCGCCATATCGCATAGCTGGCTATCGGAGAGCCCTGTGTTCCAATCCGGGGAAGTGCTGCCATCGCTGCTTGAAGAGTGCAACAATGTACTCGTTGCGATGTAAAGCGTTGAGCCGTCCGGGCTGAAGATTCAGCAGGAGCCAACACCGCACCAGGGACGAAACACAAAAACGCTGAGAGGGGAATGTGGAACATGCGGCAATCAGGGGTAGACGATGTACGAACAGGCACGGTGTGAACTTCTACGCTCGCCACGACTTGGCCACCTGAAGCAACGCACCTGAACACGATGGCCGATGCGTCCATAGTTCGACTCACATCGAATTCTGGAAACACCGTTGTTGACCTATTGTAGGTGAGAAACACGGGAGAAAAGAGATAAGGCAACCACGGCAAGCCTTTTTGTCTCAGGCCGTTCAATTGCGACAGACGTGTGCCGCGTATTTGAGGATACATGCGAGGCTGCGCTGACACCGGCAACGAACAGGGATAGTAATACGCGTACGATACACTGGAAAAGAACAGCTACAGTGCAAACGCGAAGTTGCTTGTGGACACTTGAGTTTGCCATTGCTCGAGGCTTCATACCCCTTACTAGGTGCGCACAGCCGAGCAAATCGGAACCTACAGTTCTCACTCTATTGCAGTGTTGGTGGCGTTGACCACCACGCGCCGGACACCTCCTTGTTCTCCCAGAATAGCTGTGCACGCGCAAGAATCAGTCATGGACCACAACGTCAGCAGGCAGCCAACGTTAGATACAGATACCGTTCATTCAATCGAATCTGCAAGTGTGCATGTAAAGGGATTTCGTCGGCGGAACCTGCGCGGAGATTCGCCCGATGTTCACAATGAAGCTAAACTCGTGCACCATCATGATCGACGGCTCTCGGAAAAGTGGCGCCCCTTTGCGACGACACGTCCAGGTATACATATTCTGGACTGTGGTTCGGGCTTTTATAAGTTTGACCTCTTGTCAGCGGTCCACTAGTCGAATTTTTCTCCTTCAATCGCTTTGGGACAGTCAGGGTCACGCAAAAGGTGGCGCATGAGCCCTACTGGCTTTTAGCGCGGTGGATGTCATCCGCATCGTTACACGAAAACAACAACCTTCTTCTCCTAGTATGTCCTTCAATCCAATTTGGAAGCGCTTTTCCAAAAGGTGAAAGGCTGCCGGAAGGCAAACCTACGACCTCACTGCCCCAACCAAGCACAACCGCTCACCTATTACACCATCGTCGGTGATGGCGGCTTCCAAGATTACGTCCGATTCCCCCGCCTCTCCGAGGGTTAGGAACCCAGATGCAACGAGTAAAGCACCCTCAATGTTGTACGTGTAGGTTGCAGCGGTATTGGAACCGAAGCTCAAGGGAAACGACTGTCAATAAGATCCAATATCAAATCAAGAATGGAACGGTTGCTTCGGTCACCAAGAGCAAACTGAGACGTGCATGCCTACCTTGTACATCTGGAGGGTGAGAACGCATCCGTTCCCATTTTCCAACTTCCTCAACTCCCAACCTAGAGAATATTCTTCTGAGACATACACCCCTGATGATTTTTTCAGCACTCTGAGGGACTGGACGCGAATTCGTCGTCTATGTCGCGCACAAGTGTATCTGTCTTGAAAGAGTAAAAGTAGAAGCAGGCTATCCATTCAAAAAGCACTCCAAACATTACATTTACTAACATTACATAGAAGTATCTATGAATGATTATCGTTGATATGGTTGCGGTTGGTTGACAGCTTTCTTCGCGTTAGATAGTCGTGATAGAATCGAAAATACGGGATTTCAATGCTACATGCATGGTCTGCTGCGTTGATCTGGACAACGGTTGCAAGACCCGTCTGCCCATCAACACAATCCCGGTTAATAAGCATCTGGTCATTCCGCCTCTTCAGCAGTGCCGCCCATGGGGTATCCTTGCTTTAGCAGCAGCTTCAATTTTTCACTATCACGAACATCAGGAAGACAAGAATACCACGCAACAGTATCTACTGTAGTTTCAACGTGTTCAGAAGAACTCTGTGCTCTGCCGACCTCCGCACGCC